ATGCTATGCAAAGAAGCAGCATTAAATGCCTCATCTGACTTATTTTTTTTTCCCCTCTCCACTGAGTTGAAGGAGCTGCTAGGAGGAGCCAGTCACCACATCTCCAAAACAAAACCCATCCAAGTCCTCCACGGGGCCAACAAGAAGTCCTTGCCTTTTATTTTGCTTTTCTTCTTCCCTTCCTGCGTTCCCCTGCTCCAGCTATGTGAGCAGAGCAGTCAGATTCAAAGGGAAGCAGAAAAGGGGAAAAAGCTTGGTGCCATGAGCTGGATCCTGGGCCTTGATGGCAGGAGCTGAGCATCCCATAGACCTGGTGCTGGAGCTGGAATTTCTCTGAATTTGGGGAGAAATTAGGATGAGCTGAATCCGTCCTTGGCTCAGGATGTCCTGTAGCAGCTTCTGACCCCTGTGCTGCGGTGGCGATTCACTCCTTGCTGGCAGCATCCAGGTTTGCCATGTGTAGCTGCACTCCTTGGATTTTCATAGTTAAAGTGTATTCCCACACCAAACTGTCAGGGTAACTGGGCAGGTTTGTGAATCACCCAAAAACCCTGTGAGCAAGTACGGTGGCACCGTACCAGTGCTTCTCAGGCACGTCCTCCCTTTTGGAGCAGGATCTGGAATATCCCCAGCCTCTGTGAGAGGGAAGGTCACCCTCCATTATTTCAGTGGTCTCTGAATCATAAATGATTTAACCAAGGTCACGCGCTGACTTTGGGGATGAGCCAGGCATGAAAAGCCAGCTCTGCTACCGTCTCTTACAGAGGCAGCGAATCAAGAGACTCAAACTTTGGGGTTTGAGTCTCTTGAAAGTAGAGGATTAACCCCAGAGCAGACACAGTCACAGATCCCGAGAGATCCCATCCTCTCCTCTCCCCCCACCAGCCTCCCAGATTAGCTCATCCAAACACCGGTGCCAGTTGCTCGATGTGGAAAACCCTTGGTGGTCCCCCCCCAAAATCTCATCCCCATCAGAGCAATGAGGGTTGCATATGAGAGCTGACATGGAGCCGGTAAGATGCAATTTTTAGCAGTGGCGTTATGCAACTCGGGAGAAGGGATGACTAATGTGCAAAAAGCTCCTCTAAAACAACCGAGCCCCAAATGGGAGACGGAGGGATTTCAGTGGGAGGCACCAAACTGTTGAAAAACCCATCGCATCTTCTCCCTCTTCCTCCCCGCCTTCTTCTGAACAAGTGATTTGGGGGATGCAGGAGGGGGAAAACAGCATGTTGTTATTTTTAGGTGGGGTCTGGGTTGGTTTTGGGGGTGAGATAGCAGGGGTTAATCCTCTGGATAAGATTATAAGAGGAGCTGTAGAGGATCAGAAGAGCAGACCACTAAATATCTCTGTAGCCTGGGGTTTTATCTCAAACAGTGGCCAAAATTGGCTGCCTAGAGAATAGGATAAGAATAGAGCAAGAATATACGATACTTCCCCCGAATATCCTCCCAGCCGCTTATCTATGTTTAGGGATCTGGCTCGGAGCGCATGTTCCAGCTAAGGCAAAAAGCAGCGGGAGAAAGCAAGGTTGTTTGATTTATTCTTGATGAACTGAATAAATCAATAGGAGTCCAGCTGCCTCTGCCCAAGTCCTAAAATGGTATTTTAAAAAAAAAAAAAAAAAAAAAATCAACTGGTGTGCAGCAACTGTCAGGGCAGAGAGCTCGCTGCTGGTATCCCAGCCTGGAAAGGAGAGTTTCCCATGGGATGGGGTGAGCGTGTCGGGTCGGAGCCGCTGCCTTGTCCCCAGTAGGATGCTGCGATTGAGCAGGAACATACAGATTAAGCTCTGTGTGTACCATATATACGTGCCCCTCGCCTGTGTATAGTGTGGTACCAAGGGAGCGTTGGTGCCCGGTGCCTCTCGCCCCACCGCAGCTGCGGCTGCACGCGATGCTCAGCAGCAGGAATGGGATCAGAGACGCCGCGTGGCACCGGGCTGCCCTGAGGTTGTTGGGAGTCCCTGCAGCTGCCTGTCTGTGTGTCTGTCTGCTGGGGCCGGCAGCACTTTGGGATGGGGATCAAACCCCTGTAACCCCCTCTGCCCGGTGCAGCAAGCAGATGTGTGAGGGGCAAAAGCCAAGCAGCCTCATCCTTTGGATCTGGGGGGGGCTTTGGGGGGGCAGGTCCCCCCCTCCATCATCCAGCAGCAGCTTCTTCCTTCTCTCTTCTTCCTGGGAGACTCGGACTTCAGCGCTGCATGGAGACTGCGCTGCCATCCTAGGTTGCGTGCAAAGTATTAATTGTTATTGTTGCAACAACTGCTCTGTTTCTCGGGAGATGCCTGAAAGAGCTGAGAAAATAGAAAGGCCTGTCAGGCAGCTGGGCAGGAGGTTAAGATGTCAAGAGAGTAATTGCTCTACCCAGAAGCAGCCTGTTTCTGGCTTCCCCTGCACTGCCAGGAAAAATTCTCAGTGCTGATTTGATGACAATAAAAAAATAAAAAAAAAAAAAAAGAAAATAGCAACCCCGTCCCTTGCCCGTGTTGACGAGGAACGGGGAGAGCAGAGGCAGATGCAAAATAAGATGCAGTTGAGCTTATAAATAGGTGCCTCCCAGCTCCCAGTCTGTTACTTCGTTACCTCCACCCGGGCCAATCGATCCTTACGCTTTTTCCCTGTGAAAAGGTAAATGGAGGCTCAGAAAGTATTTTGCACACTGCCGGAGGGTGGGTCACGCTCTTCCTCTGGGGCAGGGAATATGTCCTGGTGGCTGTGAAAAAAAATTAAATCCTTTGGCTTTGGAGAGTGAGAAGGGAATGGCAGCACCGCGCCGGCACGAGGCTCAGGACCAGCTCTCCGGATTGTGCGGAGGACGCCCAAGGCGAGAGGCGGCTTTCAGATGTGCAGCCCCCCGGGGTGGCATCTCTGGTCCCCGCAGCACGGGAGATGCAGGTGGCCACTGGCTTTTGCTCCATCATCATCAAATCCCCCCCCCCGTCTTTACATGGTCTGTGGAGATGGGGGGTTGCGGGAGATGCAGAGGTTGGCTGGGGGGTGTTTTGAGTCCAACATCTGGGGAGCGCAGTGGGGTGCTCTGCCCCGTGGGGCACTGCCGGATCTTCAAGCCCCTCCTGTTGCAGTGGTGAAAAGAAAAGGGACCTGAAAAGTGTCCTGAGGTGGCCCAGGGGGGGCTGCGAGGAGCCATTCCTGCAGGAGTGTTCTGGCTTTTAGTAATTTCTCTTTCAGCACCTCCTGAGCCTCTTGTCTGCAAAAAAAAAAAAAAAAAAAAAAACCACAAAACCAACCAACCAACCAAAAAAAAAACCCAAACAGAAGGAAAAAAAAAAAAGCAAGTGTACTGGCAGACCAAAGCAGTGTTAGTGTAGGACCTACACAAACATTGTGCTGGAGCAGCTGGAGGCTGGCAGCCCATGGAGGCAGCACTTAAGGGTGTCTGGGGAGATGCTTGTAGGGGGAAAGTGGGACTGTGTGAACTCACCATCCCTGGAAATTTTGCAGGGATGGCTCTGGCAGCACCGCAGCAAACCCTGGGGATTTTGGGGGCTGGGTCATGGCCAGGGTATGCCAAGCCTCCTGCCTTGGCCAAGGAGGGGGTGGCAGGGCATCACCCCACTGTTGTTGGGCAGCAGATCTGCACCCAAAAAAAGGTGGAGGAAGGAGCTGTACGCTGTGGAGGGACTGCGAGGACGAGCAGGGCTGGGACCCGCCAGCGGTGCGGGACTGAGCTGGTAACGGTAAGCCAAGACAGGAGGGTGTTTTTTTCTGGGGGACAGTGATTAAAAAAAAAAAAAATCTCAGCTGTTGTTATTTATTTTTAGTTGTGCTAATTTTTTCCGAGGCTGGGAAGCTGCTTTCCAAGGCAGGTCCCTGGAGGATGCGGGCAGCAGGTCTCGAGCTAGCACACAAAATGGCTTTGAACGGGGAGGAGGAGATGGGAGTTAAAAGCCGAGTCGTGTCCCTGGTAAATCAATCGACCTGACGGGGAATGTTTCTAGCAGGCCACGAGCCCTGCCGAGAGCTTTTAGCTGCTTGCAGGAGTGATTGAACCAGGAGCAGTGATATTTTTCGGCAGCTACTTCGTGTATGGGCAGTGCTGGTCCCCAAATTGCTGCTGGTGGATGATGCTGGGTCCTCCAGACTGATCCGTTGTGGCAGCTCAGGAGGTTGGGACGTCTCCTGCAAGCCCTGGGATTTAGGGTCTTTAATCCCAAGGGTTTTTCTGGGATGCGGGGCTTTGAAAAACCTCCATATCTGGACACTGCTCACCTAAGCTGCACAGGGATGCTTGACGGAGGACGAGACCTTTATTTTGGGGAAAATTAGATGCTTTTGGAGCTGTGCTCAGTTTGCTGTGGGGAAAGCTGGGTCAAACCCACGGTCGGGAGCTGGTGTTGGGTTTTGCAGCAAAATCCCTGGGTGGAAAGGGCAACTCTGTGGCTTATGGCGTGGATCAGGCACTGTCTCCCCGTCTGACGGCCCCTCGCCTGGAAACCAGGTCCTGGCACACGGGTAGAGGCGGTGGTGTGACTCAGAGCTCCAATCAATGTTCATTAATTCAATGATAATGAATGAGAGGGAGAGAGAGAGAGAGACAAGAAAAAACACTGCGGGATATTAATGCACCAGGCTTGGCTTTGGGACATCTGGCTTGGGGTTGGCTTGGGAAGTTTTGGTCAAGAGCAGCTTTCTGGGAGGAGAGGGCTGCAGCCGGGATGACTTTTTTCTTCTGCTCTTCATTTTTACCCTCAAAATCGCCCTGACTCCATGTCCGGTATCTCTCAGAGAATTGTTTGCCAAGTCTCTATCTCTGGGTCCATTCTGAGGCTTTTTTAAAAATTTTTTTACTGATTTACTGATGGAATAGCAGCATTTTATCACTACAGAGGAGGCCATTTCACTTTGTGGTTACTGTTTCCTGCATCGTGCAAAGTTTGGGTCCCCTGGCAGCTCAGTCTCCCTCTCCTATTCCTCCACAAATAGCCGACGAAAGCAGTGTCTAACAGCATGTTTAATACTTGTGTCTTTAATTGCAGACACCTGCCAAGACGTCCTCTCTTCCAGTTACCCCCAGGGTGAGGTGGTCACCTTCTCCTGAGCCCCGGCTGGATGCAGGCAGCGCCCCAGCAAGGGATGCCTTCCCCGAGGGATGCTCTCCCCAAGGGATGCCTTCCCCGAGGGATGCTCGCCCTGAGGGATGCCTTCTCCGAGGCAGAGGGCTGTGTGCCCCGAGGGATGCTTTCCCCAAGGTGGAGGGATGCTGTCCCTGAGGCTAAGGGATGCTTTCCCCAAGGGATGCTCTCCCTGAGGCCAAGGGACGCTCTTCCCAAGGCTGAGCGATGCATTCCCCCAGGGCTGCTCTCCCCACAGCGCAGGGAGGCTCTCCCAGAGGCCAAGGGATGCGTTTCCCAAGGGAGATGCTCTCCCCGAGGCCGAGGGATGCTCTCCCCAAAGCCCAGGGATGCTCTCCCCAAAGCCCAGGGACGCTCTCCCCAAAGCAGAGGGACGCTCTCCCCAAGGCTGGGACACGCATTCCCCCAGGGATGCTCTCCCTGAGGCCGAGGGATGCTCTCCCCAAGCTTGCCCACCGCAGCCGCTCAAAGCTCCGGCTGCCAGCTCCGCAGCGGGGTGGGGGAGAGGGTTGGCAGCTGGGTCCCCCCCAGAGAGGTGCCGCAGAGCAGCGGGGCCGGGAGGGGAGGTCGGGGTGCTGGGGGCAGCCCTGCTCCCCTGCCTGCTGCCAGCCCTGCCACGTACACGCTGCCTGTCTCCCCAGCGCGCCCCTGGGCTGCCCCCCCTCCCCTCGCCCGCGCTTTCGGATGCACCTCGCCCCTCCGCCTCCGGAGACTCGCCAGCCGCTCACTGAGACATCGCCTCCCGCGGCTCCATCCGTGCTCTGACCCCCCCCCCCCCTCCATCATCAAACGGCCGCTGGGGACCCTCCTCCGGGGTTTCGAAGGCTCCATTCGAGGTGCCACGAACAGGTTGCTGCACCATCACCCCCCTCTCATGGGTGCTTACCCCGGGGGTGCAGCCCCGAGAGGATGGGGGGGACGAGCGGGTCGGTTCGGGCGCAGGGGCGGGGATGGGAAGCAATAGGTGAATGAGGTGGGGTGGACCCGGCTGGCCTGGAAGGGTCAGTGTCTTTCTAATGCTGTTTCATATCTTTGTGATCAAGGCAATACTATTCCCATTTCCGTCTGTCCTGTACGCATGCCTCTACCTGTCCAACTGTACTAGAGTTCGAATAAAGACATCCATGAGCTGAGTCAGCTCCTGTACCCCTCCTGACTCCGTGTTTCCTTGCTGCCGGCTCCCTGTGTGCCCACAAAGCCCTGTCCCCACCCTGGGTGTCCCTGGCAGCGGGGATGATGATTTCAGCAGCGGCGTTGCCTGGGTGTCGTGGCCGAGCTTCTTTCTTTCTCGCACAGCTTGGAGCAGAGCCCACTGGAAAGCCCACAGCAGACTGGCTTTGACATCCACGCAATATTCATTTGTTGAAGGAAAGGTACTGCAGAGCTGACAAATGCATTGGCTCTGCCTGCTCTGACTATCAAAGATGAAATAATCAGCATTATGGCTGCACCGGTGCCATCCTTAGGTTTCAGAGTGAACACTGCATTGAGGTGAAACGGCTGGTCCTCCCGGAGCTGTCTGGGCAGCACGGCCGCAGAGCTGAGCAGATGGCGCTGAGCTGATTCATGGGTTTAGGGCTGAATATTTCACACCCTTTGGGGGCTGGGGTGCTTCCAGTGTTGCCTTTTGACTGGCTCTGAAGGAGTTTTAAACCCCCTTCACCCCCCGAGGCACAGCATGAGTCCCCAGAGAGCCAAAGAGACCTGGCACGACCCCAGTCACTGCTGCAGTGAGTTGGAGGAGCCTCAGCTGACACCCCCAGTTTGGAGATGTGGGGGCTCTATCTGTTGGCATCCTGCCCCAGGGGCATGAGTTCTTTTATTTGAGACGGGTGGCACAGGGAGAGGCTGGGGTGGTTAAAACCAGGGGGTGGAACGAAACAGCTGCCACAAAACTGAAAAGCAAGCAGTCACAAATGTGAGCAATCACTGGCCGGGGGCCAAAGAGCAATTAAAGCGAGAGCCATCCTCTGAGGCCGGGAGCGAGATGCTCTGCTTCCTGCTGCGGCTGCAGAGAGCCCTTGAAAGCCTTGCCGTGCTGCCGAACGTGCCGTGGCCCTTCTCCGACACGGCCGTGGTCGTGGATTGATCATCGGATCGATGCCGAGTGCTTGGGGTGGCTCCTCAGGGATGCTGGGTCAAGTGATGCTGAGTACCTGCATCCCCCCCCCCCCCCCCCCCCCCCCCCATGGGTGCTGCTCACGGGGCTTTTGGGGCCACCAGCACCTGGGACCTGCCAGGCTGCTTGAGGGTGGCCTCAAGGGGACCGGGACAGCCGGGCTCTTGGGGAGGTGGGTTTAGGGATGGGGTGGTCACGTTGGGGGTGGTTGGTACATAGCTGGTTGGAGATGTCCCCTGTGGTGTCCCCCAGCAGCGGGACGAGGTCCCTTCTTCCCTCCTAGACAAAACCTCTTTCCATCACCGTTCTGTACCACATTGGCCACTTGCAACCTGTTCCCCACTGACCCCTGTGCAAAAAATCAACCAGGCGGAAAAAAACAGTGGCGCAGGGGCCGAGTGTGTCCCCAGGGACCCCCTGGCTCCCCAGGGTGCTCCTCTCCTTCCTCCTCCCTCTTTGGCTGTGGGCTCAGGGAGAGGTAAGTCCCACTGCGCCCAACCCTGGGGCTCCAGGATGGGAGTGTTACAGCCCCAGCCTGGATTTGGGACAGGAGGGTGGGTGTGAAGCGTTGCCAAACCTTTCTAAAGCTGCACAAAGGTGGATGTGAGCCATCAGCCAGGTAAGGTCCTTCACCCCTGGACACCTGGGGGGGTGTTGGGAGTGCAGGAGCGGAGTGAAGCCCCCATCCCAAACCCCCAGGGTTGCTGCTGGGCTTCCTTAGCCCCCCATCACAAACCCCCAGCTGCTGCTGGGCTTCCTTAGCTCTTGCTTGGGTGCTCCATCACACTGGGCTGGGGCTGTGCACTGGGCTGCTGGGCATGGCCATGGACACCCCGACTTCCTGATGGACCACAGAGACACAGGAGGGTTGTGGTAGGTGGGGGGATGGAGATGGGAGAGGTCAGGCTGCTGGATGGGGGGCAAAACCCTCTTGGGGGAGCACCAGGACCAGGCATCGAGGAGCAACCGCTCCCAGTGGGAGCAGAAAGCCCAAAGGGGAGCAAAAAGGTCGATTTACTGATGTTCCAGCTGTCCCCATGAGGAAGTCAAACCATTTTTGGACCCAGGTATCCAGCTCCCCAGCGGGCAGGGGGATGCTCCCAGGGTTCCCCGTAGCCCCACTGAGCAGCCCACCCCTGCCAGTGGGCAATCCCACTCCGGCAGCCCCAGCCTGTTGCCGGCGGGGATTTCGTTAGTGCCGCTGCTCGTTCGGAGCTGCAAGGCTTGGATTCGGGTGCCTTTGGCACGACTCCCCTCCTGGCCCGTGTTTCTTGGCTCTCCGTCCCTCTGGGTATAAAGCCAGCAGCAGCCAAGCAGGAGAAGGGGGACAAGGGATGGGGACAGAGCTTGTAACATCTTGACAGCAGCCCCTGTCTTTTCCCAAATTAAAATCACCCTTTCCCACATCTCCAGGAGCATTTTTGACTCTTTTCCTTGATTTTTGAAGACCAAGTGGGGAAGGGAGCGCACATGACACCTGGGGACACGCAGCAGAGAGGGAACATGGGCAGAAAGACTTGATAGAGAGGGGGGAGCCAGTGACAGCATCCCTGGCCTCAGGGCTGGGATTAGCCATCGGGTGCACTTTAAGGAATTTTAATCAGGGAAAGATGGTGCTGTCAATAAAAACAAGCGAGAGGCTCCGTGGCGTTGCGCCAAGGAGATGAGCGCATGATTTTTAATCTAGGAAAGTAGCTGCCGGGAGGGGAACGGCACACAGCCGGGCAGCGGCTCCCGGGGAGCTGCATCCATGGCAGGGATAACCGAGGGGCCGGATCCAGGCTGGGAGAGGGGCTTCCCCCCCCCAAGAACCCCACTTTGGGGTGCCGTTGCAGGAGGAGGTGGTGGGGAAAGGGATTGGGGGGGGTCTGGTGATTGCAGGGGGGATGTTGGGTTCCTCTGCAGCTGGTTTGCTCAGGGACAGTTCTCCCGTGCCTCAGTTTCCCCTTTCCTAAGTGAAGATGCTTAATCATTTAAGACAGGCAGATTTGCCGGGTGGGGGTATAAAAAGAGGGACAGCTTGCAGGGTGCTGGGTGAAGGCAGCAATGGGCCGTGGGACAAGCCTGGAGCAAATCCCAGGAGAAGGGCAGCAGGAGCTGAGCATCCCTGCCGTGAGCAGACACCCGGGGCCGAGCCGGGTTTCCAGGACCTTGTGCTGCATCTCCATCCCGGGGACAAGAGCAGCTGGAGCCGTGGCCGCTGTGCTGCGCGTCCGTCTGTCTGGCAGGCCAGTCCGAAGCAGGCAATTGCTGTAATCCAGCAGCAGCTCTGCTGTGAGGGATTCCCAGCGGGGAGACAGCTCGACGGGAGCAGGCTTGCCTCTGCTTCTCAGCCGGCTGGAAGTCGCCCGCTAAAATCAACGTGACCCTGAGCCCACGGGGAAAGAGCTCTCCCCACTGCCCCTGTCTCTCTGGCAGGGACCTGAGCAGGGTGACAGCTCTCTGATGGCCACGCAGGCACTGAGATACGGGAAACCCCAAAACGCCGGGACCAGCTCACGGCCCCATCGGGTGCGCACAAGCCCGGCAGCGGTGCTCGCTGTATTGCCGCTCTTAAACCCCCCGTAAGCAGCGGGCACCTTCCCGTCCCTTCCCTTGCACTGCCCTGCCTTGCGCTGGTTGACTCAGCCCCACTCCACGCTGGTCTCCGGGGCTGTGGGAGGAGGTTGGGGCATCACCTGGGGGGGTATTTTGGAAGGGGGGAGGTTCCCTGGCAGGCAGCTGTGACTCCTCTTTTCTACTGAATACCTGTGGAAAGATCAGGAGGTTGCTTCCCTGCCCTCCTCCCAGCTCTTGAGCCTCCCTGTGCTGGGCACTGCCTGGAGGAGCCTGTGGGCTGCAGGAGGTGGAACTGGGAGCACTGGAGAGATTATAAACCCACCCTAGGGCAGCTCTGGGGCTGTCCAAGTCTCTGGCAGTTGACATTGCTGGTCGTGGCCTTGGAGCAGGAGTGGTGATGGTGGAAGTGAGGCAAGGGGCCACTTGGCTCCCTTTGGGATTGGCAGGGCCCTAGAAAGCCCCTTCCTGGTGCTGAGCCCCTTATGGGCCAGGCTGGGAGCACATTGGCATTGGGTGGAAGCCCCTTCCCCGAGCTTGCTGCAATTTCTTGAGAAACCTTTTGCAGCCCAGTCTCTCTCCAGCTTCCCAGCAGCTTTATTCCCACCATCCCTATTTCTACCAGAGCATCTCCCCAACTCCAAAGCAACTGAAACCAGTTTGCTGTTGGGAAGAGAGGTTCAGGATTTCTCCCAAGTGGCATTTCAATGCCCAGTGAGCTCACTGGGGTCTGTCCCAGCACCCCTGGCACAGCTCTGCCTGGTGAACTGCTGCCATGTGCACAGGGTGGTGAGCCAAACACGGGGCTGGGATGGATGAACCACCCCCCCTTTCCCACCCCCACGGAGAGGTACAGCTGCTGAGCTCAGCAGAGGTCCCCAGCTGCCGCATGTCCCCTCCCCACTAGCCATGCTTCAGGCTCTTAGTTTAATAGGGCTGGTGCTGAGGATTTTGGCACGGAGGTCTAGGGATGGTGGCCTTGAGGTGTCCAGTTCCCACTCATTTAATATGATGAAATCTAATAAATAACTCAAGCCCAGAATGGCGTTTCTTTACCATCAAGGAATGAATGAGACTTGCAGCCCATTTTTGGCTGGGCCATGCGAGCCTTGCATGGATTTCTTTTACCACTCTGGATATTCAGAACCAATGGCTTTAATTCTACCATTGCTGGAGGAAGCTCTTAGAACCCACAGAAAGTGATGTAAAATGTTCCTTTTTTATCCCCATCCCTACTTTGCACTAATGTAATGTGTTCTGAGAAAGACAGAGAAGCAGGGGAGAGGCTTAGGAGGGGATGGGATGCTGAGGATGGCTGAGCCAGCAATAAGAAACCCTGGAGAAAGTTCTCCTATCCCCAGAAGTAGCTGCCTGGAAAAAATCACCTGGAATGGTTTTTACTGGGAAACTGGCTTTCCTCCTTTAGGCAGGGCAAGGGGGGAATTCTCCACTGCAAAACCCCATTTATCGC